ATTTATGAATACAAGATGGTTTAATGTTGTTGCAGTAGATCCGGTATAGGAGGGGAGGGATGGGAGGGATTTTGGGTGTGTGTGTTTTGTTTTGTATTTTTGTTAGTTTGATTTTTTTCTGTAGTTTGTGTTAAAAAAATAATAAAAAGACTTTGATCAAAAAAAGAAGCATTGTTACAACAAATAAACAATCTACTAAACACAAATTTCCTTACTTTTTGTGCAAATTATAGTTTTCTATTTTGCAGAACTAAGTCACATACAGTATCTATTCTATATCTTAGGATAAAGAAGAGGTCGTCACTGTGGCATATGGACTGGATGAGTCTGCTCAAGAGACTTGGCCAGAAGATCAACCAAAGCTCACTGAGGAGGCAAGAGACAGATGAGAAAATTCTGACGAAATGGGCCTACAGACATAAGCTATAGCAAAACAGTCACAATCATAAACTGGAAGTAATGCTGGTGGTTCTGTTTTGGACATTTTTGGGTTTAATTTGGATCTTTTCTTGCTTTTCCAGCTGTTTTATAGTTTTTAGTCTCTGATCTGATTTTGTGTGTTTGTTTAGTTTAATTACTCTCAATTTTTAACAAACATGTCACTTGTGTCATTTTATAGTTTTAAAATTAATATTTGTGTTCTGATTTGGTTAGGAGTTAAATGAGAGTATAACAAGGATCCTGACTGCAACCAACCCACATGCACCYCAAAATATTGTTCGCTACAGCTTCAAGGTAAGAAAGTTACAGCTAATAATAATAATAGTCACTTTATTCATGAAAATTAGCACCTTTACTGTACAACAAGCACCTCAYTTGTGCTACAAATTATTCTGTGATTGTGACTGTTATACTTGGTAGACATTTACCAGAAAAGAACATTTGTTCTCAGTTATTGTTTTGTGTTTTTAAAATTGTTTTTATTTGTTTGGTATAATCTAAATAGGTTTTGGAATCAGAATATTTTTATTGTCATTGCAACAAGTGCAATAATTTGGTGTTTCCAAGGTTATTATTGCTTGTTAATTAAAGTCAAAGAGCAGTTTTGTTTTTGCTTATCTCTATTAGGGTTGCCACGATTAATCGATTAATCGATTAATCGATTAATCGACGACTAATCGATTATTAAAATAATCTATGACTAATTTAAAAATCGATTAATCGTTTTCTTTTTTTGTTGTTGTT